ATTTCAGTATGAGTAAAGTGATAGAGAGGGCCTGTTAAAGCTGGTGTTACTCAATGCATATCTCTTCTCCTTTTGAAAGATAGAAATACTGTATTGTCTCAGTAACTTTGGGCACTTGTACTTGTTTCACCACTGGCAGCTCCATCCAAAGGCCAACAATTCTCTCGAGCATCCGACCAGGTGCTTCCAGCTTTGCTTAGAGGAGTTACCCTTTGCTTCTGTAATCACTTAGTCCCCATCCCAGCTCTTTCACTTGAAAACACCACTTGTGCCTCCCTTTGCTGATCTGCATGCATATGAACCCCCTTGGCTGCAACATTGTTATTTGTATTGCTCCGTGTTCCCTGCACAGGGGATTAAATCTGTCACATCTTCCAGAGGCACAGTTTTTCATTCAGGCTGTAATGTATTGGTTTTAACACTAATGGTCCCAAACTTAACCCCTAGTCTTGGTCACAGTGGTAACCATCACACATGTAATTTAGGAAGTCATCTTTTAAATGATGATGTGAATACTAGTGTACTATGACTCATTTTGACTGCTGATCATATAATATAATAATTATTGTTTTCAAAAAGGGATGATTGAACCTGTCTGAACAATTCTGCTTCCCTGAAAGCCCATCATTTTGAAAAATAAGAAATCATGTTTTATTATTAAAAATCATATTTTAAAATAAAGTTATTTTCTTTCAAGTGATCAGGCATCATAAAAATTTAGTTTTTAATATAATGAAACTTCACTACATCCTCAGTATCATTAGATTCCTGACTTCTGCAGCCTGTATTCCATCTATGTACTGTGATACACAAGAAATAGGCAATAATTTCTCTCACAATCAAGTATTGCTACTGATGGGTGTATTTAACTTGAGCAGAAATACTACATGAACCTTCAGGACAAACTTTGAATGCTTCCTCCAAGAGAAACTGTATTGGGAAGACAGAATGAAGCACTGATAACCTGAGGATATAGGGATTTTGTGCATGTGGAAGATGCCAACAGGTCCTGATAAAGCTGTCTTTTCAAATGGTTCATCTGTAATACAATTTCTGGATGATCAACAATGCAACCCAGGTTTTTCCCAGAAAAACATTAACAATCTGATGTTTGATTTAAGAGATTTGATGGTCTCTTAAGATGTGTGCTTTATGCACTGCTCTGGGGGTTGCAGTACTACAAACAAGACTCAGCACAGACAATAACAAAAGCAGTGCTGGAGGTACAGGCCTACAAAACTGAGAACAGGTATTTTCCTGTTCTGTAGATCAAGCTGCAAATTCAGGAGTCATGGCCAGGTGTGATTCAGCACCTTTTTTCTCTCCCTAGGTTAGCACTGAGTGATGCAGTATAGATACTCAACCACACTCCTACACTGTCTTCTTTTGACTACGACTTTTATGTTTGCACTCAAAATAAGTTTTGGTTTGGTGAACAATATCTCAACAACTCAAATTCCCTGCTTGTGAGGCTCCTTGTGGCACCACAGGCTCTGTTCCTATGTTCTCCTCTGCACATAAACATCCTTCTCTTGAGCAGAAAAGTACTAAGCTGCAACCATGGTAGCATTGCTCCAGAAACCTCTGCCATGCTACATCTCCTCTGCTGACCTCTCAAGTGTGCATCACTTATGTGATGGGAGATCTCCAGGGGAAAACAATGCCAGAGCAGCTCTAGCTCTTAGGGCTCTGCAGCAAAAGCACTGCAGCGACTCGGGCCCTCTGTGTACTGCCCTGGCTGTCTGCGTAATGCACAATATTCTAAAGGAGAAGAGAGATTTCTGCAAGCTTCCCTAAAGTGGGGGATAAACACAACTTACAAACTTTAGCCGGACCAGCACTTTATGATTGGTGAGATATGCAGCACTGAGTACTTACTTGGACTGCTTTTGTAGTTGTATGGCATCAGCTTGTCAATGGCAGCATACTAGTACTGGTCATATCTCCTGGAGAGACCCTGATTTTTTTTATTTTTATATTCAGTTTTTGTATATGTGTAAATATGATTATTTCTGCAATAGAAAGTTTCCAGAAATTAAGGCTCTCTTCTGCTGTTTGATATTGTAGCTCTGAAAGTGAATGATTTATTGCATTGTAAACCCTCTATCTTAATTTTGCTGTGAAATATGAACTATGGGTTTTACTTTGATTTTGAAATCTTCTAATTCCTTTTGCAGTGTACAAAATTCATTGAAATCATCATCATCTTATAATAACATGAATTTACAGAGTTTGATCAAAGTTAGAGGCCCTTTACATCTCAAGAGTGGCTCAACCAATGTTTTTGTTCTGGGAAATCTAGTCCTGAAAGATTAAAATCACAGTCCCATTTTATTTAAATGAACACATTTCATTCCTCAGATACTAGTATCAAGCAGTGAGCTGTGCACTAAGCTCATTTCTTTCTCCATCATTGATTTTATTACCTCCAAAACTCACCCCTAATCTGGATGTATCAGCAGCTATCATATTGCTTCTGATCTGCTACATGTTACACGGTGTAAAAGATTTCAGCTTCATGGCTCTTCTCCAAGCAAATAAAAAGAAACCAAGGAAATACTTTTTTTCATTCACAACTATTCATACTCCACTAAGCAGGGCTCAGGACATCACGATGAGGAAGGCTGCAGGTTGACAGCTCAGGAATAAAAACCACAGCAATAAAAACGCATTTTGTTATACATACCACGTTCTGTTGGAATATGCTCACCTGAAAGATGACACAATGTGGGATTTACTGTCTCAAGGCATTTCCTGTGGCCCTCTCCCCCCACCCCATTTACTCTACCTTTACACAGGACCAAGCTGCTAAATACACATGCACTTCCCTTAAGAGGTTTGGAATAGGGGTGGCATAGCCCAGCCACGGTAAAACACAAGCATTAGGATGGGCCATAAGAATGTACAACATGAAACTGCTGTTCATGCTGGGGACAGTACTGTGCATTTTGTGTGGACATTTAGCAAAGAGAATGCAAGAGACTACTAGTGATGCCATCAAAATGGTCCATTTTGCTGATTTATGACATCGTTGCACATACTAAAACTCTCTTGCTTTCTCTTTCTCGCTACAGTTTTACCCTCAAACTTGAATTGCCGATCTGATTCACTGTCCCGTAAGCTGACGACTCTTTGCTCCGCAAGCCATTCATGCGCCGCACGGACTCAACGCTCTCATTCCCAACAGTCACAGTCTGTGCCTGTCCCCAGAGTGTCAGCATAGATAGCAGCAGCAAGAATGGGAATACCACAGTGAAGACACACACACACACAACAGGCAAAGAGAAGAATGGCTTGGTTAGAGAAGACCGTCATGCAAAACAATGAGAAAGACTTTCAAGGCAAAATAAACTGAGAAAACCGTGAGAGACAAAATCAAGTACAGAGATGCAGAAAATACCTCCTAAAGAAACTGCCTTAGTAACATTGTTCCCTATTTTGAAATTCATGCAACCAGATTCATAGGAATAAAACAAGCCTCTGCAAATGGTAGGTGTCTCTTACTTAGCTGTATATTTCCTTGTATTTGATTATGTCATTATCTATTTTGCAAAGAATCTGTGCACCACCTGGCTTAGGATAAACACAAGTCTTCTGATTATTTGGTTTTAAATAACTTTCTTTTCACAGTCATGAAAATAATAGTTTTCGAAGCAGATGAATGGCCACTTCCATGGACCAAAATTTCTTAAACTTGAGCAACGTCACTGGATACTGTTACTTACCAAGGATGGCTGCTTACCTACTTGTTCACCTCTAAAAAAGACATTGCATCCAAAAATGAGATTTCAGATGCCATACAGAAGCTTCTGCTGTGCCATGCTGGGTTTGAAAACAAAGGGTTCCAGTGGCAGTGCATGTGGCCTGTGTGCCAGTAGACAGGCGAGTATCTCTGCTCTCTCCTGTAATCTAATCTTCATTGTAATCTCAGTTCATCTGGCAATAATATTAAACTAGAGAACAGCACTGGATTTCTTCCCAGAGTGTCCATCAGATATTACATTAGCTACAGAACATTTATTAGACAGACCTGTCAAAACACAAATGCCCTGTGCCATTGTTTCCTGCCTCTTGTGAAGGAAACCATTACTTGTGGCTTCAAGCACTAGTGCAGCTTGAGCAAATATTTGTTTCACCTAGCAAATGTATATGTACACTTCATAGTTCCACATTCCCTAGACATTGGAATAATCGTAACTCAAATAAAACTCAATTTAATGTTTACTCTTGTCTTCCCATTTACAGAAAAACAAACAAACAAAAACAAACAACCCAGGACAGATGGACAGACTTCCTAAAACTATTTCTAGACTGGCATCTAGGTTACAATCTCCTCTTCTACATTTCAGTCACTGGCATAAAATTATGTGATAATGACACTCACAAAGAGGTCTTTTGCTAAAAATTGAAGTTTGCATCAGTTGCAAACTGTGATAACACAGAATCCAGAGAGGAAATTCTCCTAATCCTTCTCCTTTTAAAAATGGCCATGTTTTCTGGTTTCAGCTGGGAAAGACACCAGTTGCTGGTGGTCTAAAAGTGAGGGAAGAACTGCCAATCATTGCAATGGGCTATCCTAGGGAATCTCCCATTTTAGCATAGCGAGCCAAGGCAGCACTAGAAAAGAAAGGTCTCAGGCATGCTCTGATGACAGCACATCTGCATAACCTTGTTCCTCTGACTGTGTCATTGCACCCAGCAGTTCCTTATCCACTGGTGGTGTCACATAGTAGCACAGTATTTGTAGTCCAGCTGCCTCAGCAAGAGCATGAAGAGAAACAAATTCTTGGTGACCAATTACTGACATTTGTTGATAACTTCATAAACAGCAAATAAACCCAGCAGCCAATTATCAGCTCTTTATCAGGGAGTAAATCACTTAAAAAGAAAGTTTAGAAAAAGACTCTCCTGCAAGGGCAAGAATTGAGGTTAGAAATCAACTGCACATGAGCAGGGCTGTCAAGGCACATTCAGTCACCCCAGGTAAGGAGCAGCTGTACCTTGTTTTGTCTTCTTTGCCTTCTTCGAAGCCTCAGAAACTCTTTGTGCTGCCGTGAAACGAAGTTGACTGCTGCATATTCCAGCAAAGCAGCAAAGACAAAGAGAAGACACACAGCCATCCATATGTCAATAGCTTTTACATAGGAGACCTAGAAAGAAATAGGACAGAGCATGTTACATCTCAAATTACTACGTCCTAAGCTGAAGATATTGATGTGAAAAAATAAACACATTTTTGTGCAGCACAAGTTCCATGAGGTGGGTTTTTCTTGTTCTGTGTTTTGATTTGTTAATTTATTGGCTGATAACAAAGACATAATTCAACTGTTAATGAATACGAGTGTCTCCAAAGAATGCACAAATGAGCCTTTAGGGAAAGATCAAGATTACTTTAACTTTATAGTCCCAATCAAAGTTTGGAAAAAAAAAATGCAAGATATGATAAAATACCTACTGAAAAACAATTGCAGAAAGTTTAGAGGTTTCACCTTTTTAATTTTTTTATGAGCCAGTTACCATATTGCTTAATGAAACATATTTGGTATACACAACCTCAAAGTAAACTCAGAGTATTCTATTGTGTGGGCTGATACAGCTTTACCAATTAAATATTCCATCCTAGTTCCTTGACCTTTACCCAACATCTCTATAAGAAAAATAAATCTTCATAGATACTATCTATTAAAAATACCCATATACCAGCTGCCTCTGTTCTAGTAAAAATCTATTCTGATTTGACTTGACTGGTCCACAATAAAATCAGATACGTTATAGCACTGCAATGTCACAAGATTTTTATCATATTACCCACACTAGGAGAAACAGTAGCCAATTAATGAGGTACACACTATGCATATCAAAGGTACATTCTCCATAGGTGCGTTTGGTCTCTGCCTTTCTTTGTAGTCTTGCAGTTTTTAAGCAGAGATCTGATGATTAGGTAACAGCAGGGTGTCTCTGTTGTTTATCAGGTATTACCTCCTGAGTGGAATTTCAATGATCTGACTTAATGTCTACAATGTACATGTGAACTAGTTGCATAAACTACTTTGACATAAATAAATCAAGGAATGGAGAAGAATGGGCATATCTAGGATGCAAGGCATTTGAACTGTTTTACATGTCTTCTCTACAATGAGATTAATAACATCTAAATAGGTTTCTTCTTCTTCATGTCTGTAAGGAGGAGCTTAGAACACCTCTGTAAGCAGAGGCACCCGGAGCTTTACACAACTGTCTAAATAACAGCATCATAAATTGACACATTAGGTACCTAGCATCCACTTGCTAATTTGGCAGAACACAAATTTTCAGTATCTCACATTAACCAGTCTCCTGGAGATGCCTCAGATACTCAAGGTCACCTCAGTTTGACAGAGACCCATGGTACCCTCATACATATGGATCAAGATAAGCAAAATGGACTGTACCTAAACCCTGAAATATTATAAACATTTGAATAATAACCTGCAGGCAAAAAAATTCAATGCAGGCAAAACATATAGAGGTCTGCAAAGGCAGCAGAAATGGATGCTGTTTTCTTGATACCCATGTTTAAGAGACCATATCTCCACCTTGGAAAACTCCACCTCTACCCTTTGCGTACTATTCAAAATGACCTCACTCTTCTGGCTGGACACCCATTCCATGATGGAAGGAATCACACCTCTATCAGTGGGTTTTGCTCCTATTTGCCATGTGCATAAATAGCATCATTTTTCAAAGTCCATAGAAGATCTTTTGTTAATGTCAAATGGAATACACTGCACTATGTGCTTCAGCAAGCAATATAAGCAGAGGAACTGGCATTTAAAGCACAACAGAAAGGATACAGAGCTTCATCCTGCAGATCCTGAACACAGAGAAGCACATTTTAGAGGAGCCAAGCACTGTTATTCAGCCTGCATCAGAGGTACATGCTTTTCAGCAGCAATAGTGCAGCTCCACGTGGCGATGCCCACCATACAGCTCGCATTGTAGCTCACATGTGGCAGGCTGAGGTGACACCACAAATCTGTGCCTTTCAATCAGATACACAGCAGGTGTGTAGTTCACTCTCCCATGCATAAAAAATTGGACAAGTTACATCTTTACTGAGCAGCTGCGAAAAAACCAGAGAAAACTCAACAATGTCCCAGACGCTCTGTGCCACAGGCTGAGGACCAGTAGGAATCAAGTCACTGTAATTTGTGTAAAATGCAGCTGAGATTAAATTGTTTGTTGCTTTCCTTGAAGGGGCAGCTTGTTTCCTTTACAAATGCCCTTAGGAGATGTATTAGACATGAATAAACAGCTGGACTATGCTGTTAGAGACAGCACAATGCAGGGAGCTGAAGTCAGAATAATCAGCATTTCTGACTGTGCAAATCCTGTCCTGGTGGGCCTAAAGCAGGGGAGGCAAAATGATAAAGGAATCCCTGAGTTAGCCATCCTGCCACTTACACTGTGCTACCATAAATGGCATCCACATATCTGCTGAGCCAGCTGGATTATTTTAAATCCAGCCCAGAGGGCTGGAATCAGAGAATCACAATATCCTTGGCGGATTCGTAGCTTGTCCTATTGTTTGGCTGGAGTCACACCATGGCACAGCTTTAAATGAGAAAACAGATAGCAATTGCTTCCAGAACCATATTGAAAATAAATAAATAAATGGTAAAATCCTGCAATGAGTAAAAGCTGACACCTTTGTTTTCAAAACAATTTATGCAGTTTATGAATTTTCAGTATATACAGAATTGTGCTGCTCAAAGCCTAAAACATACAGAATTTTCTGACATGCTCATAGAAGCTGGAATCTGCAAAACTGAGTAAATCATGATAGACTAGACACAACCATTGCTCAGGCAGGTTATTCCATCAAACTCAAAACCAATGTTATCAGCTAGGGGGTTTTCTGCCAAATCATAATATAGCATGAAAACTTACATGTTTTTTAAACTTAAAGGCTTATAGCATCTTCTTTGATAAGGACTTATCAAACAGTAATGTATCTCCAGCTTCCTAAACGACCATGTCCATGCTTCATGCTCCATAATCACTGCAGGGTACATGTAGGACAGTACAGACTGACTTTTTGCTGAAGGTTTCTTCTCACCTGACTTAAAAAGCACTATGTACATGTGGGGATTTTTTTCAATTAGTGCTAAGAAACAAGCAACTTAAGGACAAAATTCTTCTAAGTGGAACATAGATGTCTGCATTATAGTCAAATAAACTGTACCCTAAAAATGTCAGTCTCTCCTTTTTGACCAAGACTGGAGTTTTGGAATGCTATTTCAGGTATACATGTGTGTTTGATATACACTAACTTTGGCTAGATAAAGCCTATGAATTATCTCTGTTAGCCAGTACCTTAATGAAATAATAATCAGAGCAGAGCAGAATAACAGAAATGACCCCACACGAGCCTTGTGTAATAGAGACTGTTACCTAAGTATTTGCCACCTTTCCCATAATTTCACTTGCAGCACAGAATGAAGCAACAATACAAATTCCAAGTGGACATTATTAAGCTAGCATGTATAAAATAAAAAATAAGTGGGCCTGTTTTACAAAGGTAGACCTTGAAAAACTGCCTCTGAAAAGCCTGTAACACCAACAGCACACTGGCTGCATTTACTATAAAATACTTTTAGAAGTGGATACTTGGAAACTTTGCCTTGTTCATTATTATCATGTTCAGAAAGCTCAATAAGATTTTCTTGTCCTTTTCCTTCTTTAAATAGCAGCTCCATCTTTTACTGCATGTTGCCAAGCTTCCTCCCTAATGCTGCTTGGGAGGAGGGGATTTAATGGCTCCCACCAATAAAACTATAAATTATATAAATTATTCAGATGCTTTGTAAATGTTTTAGGGTCAGCTATTGAGGGAACTTTTTCAGAATTAAAGCTGTCTGCATCAGAGCCAAGTATGGTAGGCTAAGTATAGTAAATGTGACAAAGCTACTTCTTTCCCTTCATAATTTTCCTCATTTGTTATTTGGCCATACCCACTGTATAAAAAAAACCCAGTTTGTTCTCCATAGAGCACTGCTGTAGCATCAGTGACCCCAGTGAAGTTCCTGGAAATGGAAGTAGAAGGAGAATTGCACTGTGAAGGACTTGCAGGGATTAAACCTTCCACTTCTCAAACCCTTTTTGTTTTGTCGCCATGACTCTCCCACAGCTCCCAAGCCCCTTTCAGCACATTGCTGTGTGTCATGGCCAGAATGGAGAATGTTTTTGTGGAGACAATCCAGGGGAAAACCTGGTCATGGGTCCTGCAGCTATGCAGCTGGCATTTGTTGACATTTTTGAATCAACCCAAATGTGAGCTCTGTTTTTGCTACAATGCCAGTCTCATGAGAATCTAGACAACTGCTTTAAATCTATGATTCTGTCAAACAAATATAAAATAGAAATAAAGATACATCCATCCACTCCCAGGGTTTTGCACTGTGAAAATAATATGCAGTGAAAGGTAACTCAGTTTGTGTTAAAAAACATATAGTCACTTATTTTGGTAGGTAGAATTTTATGAAAAATCAGTTTTTACTCATGATATGAAGCTACAAATCTCTGTTTTTACACAATGCCATATTCTAGACAAGGTTTTTAAAGAATAAAATTTTCAGCTACCATGGAATCCTACAATTTGAAATTAACTACTCCTGTGCATTAAAATAAACACTTGGAGAAAAAGGTTTCAAAGAACTTTTCAGACCTGAAAGGTGGAAATAGAACAAAGTATTACTTTAAATCAAAACTGAAAGAAAAGTTACTTTAAATAAAAAGTGAACAATTTTCAAAACAAAACAAGAAACGAGCAAGAAATATTTAATTTAAAAAGGGTGAAAGAAATTCTACTACCTTCCCTCTATTATTCAGATTCCATATTAAAGTAACCACCTAGCTCAGCAGGGATTCACAAGTTGTTCCAGCCACCCAAAATTGCCTTTTTTTTTAGTGAATAAACTATTCATCCAAAAATTTTTGCTCTATTTCTGTTGCTGGTTCTGCCAAGTCATGAGATGCTAAACCTCCCACTCACTGCTGATGCAGAAATAAATGCTGACTGCATTCAAGCCAGGAAATGTATGGGAAACATTTATGGCTTGTTTTTCCTTCAAAGATAAAGGCAGATTTTCTTCAAGTCTTTGAAGAAGAT